AGAGGGGTGGTGGTGAAGGAAACTACACAGGAACCGGAATGACAATGGCAGCTAGCTGACAGACTGGCAGGGGTAGCTGGAAGGAGGAGGCGGCGGCAGCAGCCAGGAGGAAGCGGCAGTGGCAAGGAGGTGAGACCGAGTTGGGGGAAGAAGGTAAGTTGGAGCTGGCAGTGGTAGGAGGGAGGAGGCATCCTGGTGCTAGAGGCCAATGGGGAAGCTGGAGGCTAGAAGGGAAACGGGGTTTCCTTTCACCCAGGAGCTCTTGTAGTCCTCTTCTTGTAAAGCCCCACTTTAATTCTGCATTTCTCTAAAGATGCTTTCAAGATTAGCCTGAATGGCACAGGAAGGGACAACACAGCCAAAGAAAGCTCAGGAACTCTTCAAACAGCCATCATGGGATGACTGCCCTATATCTTCTGGCCCAGGTCCGTGGGAAAGCAATAGTCTAAATGAATGAACCCACTCCTTCTCTCTTCACAGGTACTTGTCAACATGAGGGAATACAGAGCATTCACGGACCAGTTCTTGTGAAACTGAACTGGAAAGGGGCAGGTTTCAAAGCAGGATCCTGGGGAAAAGATTTTGCCTTGGGGACCAAATTACAAGACCATTACTGGGTTTTCCCAGCCAACAAAGACCACCGTACAATGGAGACATTCCGCCTCTATGCTTCCTACAAAAAAATGATGCTGTATTTTCCCATTATGGAGTTCAGTCTTAGAGGGAGGAAAGATGAGTGCGAGAACTGTGGGCAAGGGGCTGGGGTGATCTTCTACAACGGCTCTTTCTTTTACAACTGTTACAACAGCAGAGCTCTGTGCAAAATGGACCCAAACGCCATGCGGCTGTTCCACAAGGAGTTAGACGACAATGATCCTGCTTCTTTTAATGACATCTTCTCCTACAAGGGTGTCAAATATCAGGACATGGATATGGCAGGGGATGAAAAGGGCTTATGGATGATTTACGGCTCTTCAAAGGCCAATGGAAACATGGTCATTAGGCAGGTAGACCCTAATAGCTTGAAAGCTGGAAGACGTTGGACTACCACACAGCCAAAGCCACAAGTCACCAATAGTTTCATGATCTGTGGAGTGTTGTATGCCACCCGAAGAGTGAATGCAACACACGAGGAGGTGTTTTACTATTATGACACTAACACAGCCCAGGAAGGCAATATGCAAATCTTCATAGAGAAAGCTCTGCCTACTGTGCAGAGTTTGAATTATAATCCCAACGATGAGAACCTCTACATGTTCAACGATGCCTACTTGGTGTACTACAATGTCACATTCAAGAATCACATGTCTGGTACAAGCAGAAGAGGACAGCTTGCGGCTACTGCAGAAGGGCAGGATTCCGACAATGCAGGTGGGCAAAACGTGGTAAACAACCAAGTGCAGGCTGATGCTAGCAAGCAAGATCAGTTTTCAGATTTGGCTCTCGAAGACGGGAGCGATACCAGTAATAAGGCAGCGTATGCTGTTGTCCACAGACGTACCATGTGAAAGTGAGAACAGAGTGCTGCTAGCGAGGGAGGGCAGGTACAGCAAGTAAAAGCCAGGGACCTCAGGTGAGTAAGGGGGAGAAAACTAGATAAATAGTGGATGTTGGAATAAGAAGCAGAGGTTTTGCCTATTCCCTTCCTTCAGGAAAAATGCAGCCTATCGCAAATAAAATACTTAGAAATTTCATTCCTCTTTGGAAACGTTGTCTTGTACTTTCATAGCAGAAGAGAACATACATGTTAGTGAGATGCAAAAATACAATTGCCACACTATCAAAGCCCTGGGATGATCCTGTCGGGTCTATTCCATCAGCCATCCAAAATGTTAATTAAAAAAGTAAGTGGTGAAGATCATTTAAAAGTCATTCCCAGTACCCAGTGAAAAGTGCAATGCCTTTCCCTGCTCTGTTGCCCATAGGCTTCCTTTTCCAGTTGTTTATCTTTATTTCTCTTCAAACAAAAACTGCTCTCCCCGAAACCAAGTGCTACAATTACCGGTGGTACTTTCTAAGCCATCCTATTAGCTTTAAAGCTTTCCCCTCAAATCTTTCTGAATTGATTTACACCTTTTTTGAAGTGCATTTTCCTGGCCCCAGCTTGGGAAAGAATGCTGTCTGTTACTGCTCTTGCTCCTTGCATAAAAGGATAAGACACAAACCAGGTTTGCAGATGTACAGATCATAACTCACTTGCATGCCTGCATGTACGAATGATCACCGCAACAGCATGCCCATAACAAAGCTTGGTATTATTTTCCATTCCTGCCCTAGCTTTAGTTGGCAAAACTGGGACAGAGAGAAATTACGCCAGTAGAAATAGGAAAATACAGCATGACAGAGCCCTGCATTGGGATCAATCTGATGGGCATTGCTAGAGGGACTTCCATGCAGGGCCCAAAATGCGGGGTCCAAAAGGAAACAAATATTTGGCACAGTATGGGATTGGTTTCACACTGCAGCATGACTAGCACATCAGACCCTGGGATTCTGGCTAAAGAAAAGTCTTACTGCAGAAGCAAGAAGGAAGTCACCACCTTTGTATATCTGGCCTCTGCCCTGCTTAGTTATACATTTCTAGTCAAGAGAAGCACCACGACTGTCCAAAGTACCAAGCTTTAAAAGGACAAACATACAGATGTGCAGACCACTTGCTGATTTTCTAGACTTCCAGTGTTTCTAGGGTCGTGTTGCAAGCAGATCTGAACGCTTTGAACACAGCTCCGGCAATACCAAAACATGCCAAACCTGGAAAGGACCACATTTGTTTACATCACATCCCTCTCAGGTTGTAGCAGCACATCACACATAGTATTTGAGGGAAAGGAAGCCACGGCCCCTGCCTAAGGCGAATAAGTGGCTGCCTCCCTACAGCATTTCCCCAGCCATGGGCACAGAAGCTGCTGTCCAGCACTCAAGTCAACATGAGAAATGTGCGTGTGTGTGTGTGTGTGATGTTGCCGCTGAATTGTTGGTGCAGTTCAGCATCTGGAGGGAGGGAAGTCGAAGACACCCTGCGGAGAATGTTACATCCTCTTCTTCTCCTTCAGTCCCTATAACATGAACAACCTCTTTCTGTGCTCTGAAAAATAGCAACATGTCCACACTTTATGAAAAAACCAAGTGTACAAAACGTAACCGTTGATTCTGACTACCGAAGAGTGGGTGGGTGAGATTGCTCACAGAGCTGCGTGTGGTTTTTGGTCAGAGACTGGGACAGGAAAGGTTGGGTGGCAAGGATCTGCTGGCCATCTGCTGGCCATTCTTCCTTTGCACCCCATATCCAACGAGACCAGCATCCAGTTCCTCTGGTGAAAGATCTCTGCTCCCAACAGACAAGCATCCTAGAAGGGGAAAACAGCCACACACAAAGGTCAAAGAAGCTTCTCCCCAGGCCGCTGCGCCTGGACTCCCCCTAGCTAGCCTGGAAGGGGGCGCTGAGGAGAGGAGGGTGTGCATGAAGGCAAACCTGCACACCCGGTACAAACAGACGTTTCTAGAGAGTGACTTAGTGATACCCTGAATTGCAGCACTAGCCCTGGCCCATCATTAGAAGCCTGATGCGCAGCAGCATAGAAGCGAAGGGTGATGCGTATCCGGCAAGATGAAGGACTTTCGTTTTTAGAGTCTGTCGTCTCTAGCCTGCTCTTGGCCATTTTCTCTCTCTCCTCCATTCCCTCTCCTCAGCTAGCGATGCAAGCCACGGATCTCTTCAGGAAGCACCACCCTTCCTCTAACAAGCAGGGTTAGGCAGCACTTCCTGAAGATACCCGAGTCCCTCAGATTACAGCTGGAGGAAGGAAAGGAGGATGGCAAGACGGCTGGTGAGGAAGGGGAAGAGGAAGGACGGGGTGGGCATGAAAGCCAGCTCCACTGGGGCAAGAGGTGCTGCCCCTGTCACAGCATTCCCAGTACCACTTGTGCCGTGAATTTCCTAAAACTGGGTTGAATAAGGACTGGGAGACTTGTACTTTTGGAGAGGTGGTGAAGGAATCACACACCCAGCTGATGACATGAACTTGCACCTGGCCAGTGTTTTCCAGAGTGAACAGTTTCACTTCAGCAGCCCCGACTGTAGCAACTTTCAGCTCTGAGATGTCAGGGACATCTGCTAAAGCAACCCAGTGACCTAAGCCAAGAGATTCACTAATCCCACCCCACTAGAGCAAAGGCCTGCGCAGTCAGCAGCCTTGGAACATGCTTCTCCACTAGCATAGTTGGTAAAAGGGTGTTGTTGTTTTTTTGACTCTGAAGCAAAAAAAAAAAAAGTTTTCAAGGATCACTGGGTCTGACCGCGGATCATTCTCATGTTCACTTGGAGAAACTCTCGAGCAACAACAGAAGGCGCCTGGTCTCTCCGCCCCCCCCCCATCCTCCAACCACCCTTCTCCCTTTCAGCAGCTCCAAGCAGGAGAGGCCAGGGCCAGCTGCGGGTGATTCCCCTAACCCAAGTCCTTGCAAGAGCAAATGCATCCCATCTTCACTCAGGGGCTGCTTGGCCAGTTATACTGCATCATCTGGATCCCATCCCACAAGGCCCCGGGCTGCAGTCCAAGGAACAAATCTGTTAATCGTTCATTTATTCTGGGATGAAAGTACATCCACAAGCAGAGCACTCCCCGAAAGAAACCTGGCTGGATCAGACGTGGACCGAGTGGGTCCATATTGCTGCTTTGATCATTCTTTATCTATGCTGCTCATCAGGAAGATTCAGGCAGCCACAGGTCAGCCACAGGTGAGCCATAGGCGATAGGTGTGATGGGTGATGCTGACCCAGAACAAAATGATCTTGACTATCTTAAGCACTGATCTGGAAGGGGATTAACTGTTACTTTTGGGGACACAGGTGCTGCACCCACATGCATGTGTGTGTGGGCACAAGGGTTCAAAAAGGTTTTGGGATGAGGACAAATGGTGTATCTGCCTCCTCTCTCGTAGGTACTTACCACGACCCATCCTGATTCTGTTGGTTCCCACCAGCCTCTAACTCCTGAGCTATGCTGATCCTATCCTGTCCTTCCAAGTTGCAACTGCTAGAAGGGATTTTGCGGAAATGTCTTCCCCAGACCCTTTCGGTAAACTTAAATTGTGACCTCTTGCTATTTTAGAACTAGCTCTGCCCAAAAGAAATGCAGACCCTGCTCTTTGGGTTATGAGACAGGGACATGGGCTGGATTCCTGATAACATCTCATTCATATGTTTCCTATTCTCCACATACTATATCTGCATTAATGGCAGCACTGATAGATTGAGTTTTTTTCAGATGCACATCTAAGAATTTTAGTGTGGAAAACATGTACTTTAAATGTGTGCATTACTCATCAAAAATTAGGATTGGCTGCAGGTTCCTTCTATATAGACCCTGGGGGTAAACCTGGGGTTGATGCCTTGCCATGTGTAAAGTGGCCCCATCTATGAAGTCATGTGCACATGGTGAGTGCTCAAGTTTGTGGTGCACCAGAAAACTTTCTGCCAAAAAGCAAATCATGGGATGTGTCATTCCTTAGGACTAAGTGCCGGTTTCCATGCATGTTGGCTGGACCACAACCAATAAAAGACAACCTGGAGGTTCAGCATGGAGTTTGAATGCAGAGTGTGGAAGTGAGCACTGAGAAAGGAATTCTAGAGTAGCACATACCACCAGATTTTCTTTTTCATTTCAGAAATCCATCCATCATTCACCATTTGATTTGCCTACTGAGCAGAGCCAGACCTACTTCCAGAATTAAACAAAGTTGCCACAATATCTCCAGTGGGGCTAGCCATGATTGGTGGTGCACACTTTAAATTTGACAGTGCAGGGAGGACACAGCAATGCGTTATTGATATTACTACTATTTGCAAATATCATGTCAGAAATAGGCAAATACCAAGTAGGAAACATAGGACATCAGAGTCTGACAGAACCACTCCAACCAGAGTCCCCCCTCATTCTGCACTTCAGTACCAATTCTCACTTATGATTCTTGACAGGTCCATGGAGCAGTCATGCACATAAACCGTGGGAACCCAGCTGGGCATGAAGTGCTTGTGGATTCATGGCCAAAGTTCAAAGCTGTCCTCACTCGGCCATGCAGAGAGGTAACAGCCCTCAAAGAATGTTTGTGCACTACTTTGTGGTCTTTTGAGGAAAGACATCAGAAATGGTGTCTGAGTTGTGATATGGAAGATTCTTTCCTATCAAGGAATGTGATATGGAAGATTCTTTCCTATCAAGCCAGGCTTGAATGGAAAGAGACGAAGTGTCAGCTATTGTTGCTAGGGAGAGAGCAGGCATGCAGAATGTTGACCCTTTCCCAAACACTTCACCCACACGTTAGGGAAACCTAGGATTACCTTCTCACAGGTGTATTACTGCCTTCTCCTAAATGTATGTGTTTGTTTGATATGATTCTTGGTCTCCCAAGGGCAGGCAGAATAAACAGTTTCCTCTCCCATGCTAGTGAATGAAAGCAAAGCAAATCCTAAAAGCCATGTGTGATATTATGGCCCTGGCATCTCAGACTCATCCTTCCTTATTGGGGAGGCAAGATTCGATGTGTGGCAAAATCAGTTAGTCATTACACAGTCAACACATGGGACCAGTACATGTACCACACATCCGATTACCAAGTAGGAACATCGTAAGTGTAACTTTTAGACCAGGCCTAAGCCCACTGCTGTTTTGACCTGTTCCGATGATGAAAACATTGGGGATTCATTCAGGTTTCATAGGTACAACTGGCTAGCCTGAGAAAGCACAGGAAGATTATTGTGTTCATCACTTTCAAATGTCATGTCATTCTTTTAGGTTTCCAAAGATGACTCTGATTTTTACACCAACATGTATGCTGCATTTTATCATGATCTTGATGCGTATCGGACACTGTTGCAGGACTCAGATGCTATCAACTGGGCCCAAACCTTCTATATACTAGGTAACAGACAACTTCCTACAGGGAAAGGGGATAGGAAGACCCAACAGCAGTTTTCTTGTGCAATCCTTAATGTTCAACCCTTGGCTTTTCAGGATATCCATATTCTGTAGGAAAAAATCCAAAAGCAACAGCAAAAACAGTAATCTTTTTATTAAGGCCAACCAAAATATCACAAAATGTTGAATATACTATGAGGTGTTGTCAACCTCCAGGTGGGCCCTGGAGCTCTCCCAGAAGTACTGCTGATCTCAGGTCCCCCCTGGGGAAAATGGCTTTACATCCTGCTGAGGTCCCTCCCCTCCCCAAGCCCCGCCCTCCCCAGGTTCCACCACCATATCTCCAGGAATTCCCCAACCCAGAATTGGCAACTCGAAACAGTAACCCATAAAAGGTCCACAGCTTGGGCACAAAGAATAGTATTGGCTCTTTGACCACAGAAATTACAAAATCATTATCATCACAAAAGGGAATGTCAAATACTGTACAGTGAATTATGTTAAAAAGACCAAGCCCTGCCCAAGTCTATGCATGGCTCTCATCTCGATTAGGAAAGGTGGGGGGAGAGAAAGAGAGGCAAAGATTAAAAGCTGGGAAGAAGAGGTGCATTTTCAAGAATTCTCAAAGGAAGGAAAGCATGGATCTTGAAGGCAGTGAGATGCTGAGTCAGCATGGGGTAGTGTTTGGGTCTCCACTGGGGAGAACGGTGGGATATAAATGAGTCAAAGTTAGGAAAGAACGAGAGAATAAACAGACTTTGTAGCAGAAAGAGACAAGACTATATCTTAGTGATATTAGAGTTGTGGGTATGATAAGTGACAGTCTTTTATTCCAAACTGATTCAATTTTTAAATGGAATTTTATGTCTCAAAAACAGCTTCCAGAGTTCCCTCTCAGTAGTACACATTGGTTCCTTTCATTTGTTTTTCCCCACTGTGAAATTTCACTAACTGGTCATAGGAAGGTATTCCCAAATCAGGACTACAGAAGAGCATTTACACTAATGCGCTGGGATGTACTCCCATCTACAGTCCTGGAAGGAAAATTTAATAAAACTCCTTATGAAGAAAGGATATGTCCCTGTTGTGCAGATGATATTGAGTCTATAGAACACGTAATATTTGACTGTAAGGCATATAATAACATCTGCAAATCTTTCCCTTTCTCTAAGATACTTCCTCTTTCTCATGGGCAAAGAATCTGCCTTTTAAGAAGTTTTTAATTGGATAGGTGAGCAGAAGTTACTCATCGGGTGGCTAGGTTTGGATGGCTTGCCCTAATTAGAAAAATTAGCTCAAAAAGAGGAGAATTAAGATTTAGTTTTATTAAATTATTATGGTTTTTATGGAGTTTTTCCCTTTTAAAAACCTGCTTTTAAGATTCTGCTTCTATTTGGAGATCCGGTTCTGGTAGAAGCGGCGACGGATGATGGTGGGACAAGCTCCTTCTTGATTTCGAAGCTATACCCTGCTTCAAGATACACCCCAGCAATTCGGGGGGGGGGGGTTTAACAGCCTTTATCAAGCCATCCGGAGTGAAAGCTTGCAGGAAAAAGCTTGACTTGGCAAGAAAAGATGCAGCGACGCCTTTGAAAGCTGAGACTGCTTCAAAGCGGGAGTCAGGGGAACACCCAGCTGACAGCTAAGCTGGCAAGACTCAACTGTGAACCTGTACAGGAACTTCCAGAGACAGGGAGACGTAAGAGAAATCGGGAAACAACATCAACCTTTTGTTTTATTTACTGGCAAAATTGTAAACCAAAAGAAATGGAGGGGAGAGAAGAGAAGAAAGACGGGAGAGGACAACTTAAAGAGACAGAGTGGCTTTGGAAGTGAGTTGTTTCCCCGGGAAGGACTTAAAGTTAACAAGCCCCTTTAAGCGGTGAGAGCTTCCTGAATACAGAACTGCTGAACTGATTTAATCGGAGAACAATCAATTAACTTTGGGAACATTGAAAGTTTTGTTAGAGCCAAGACAAACATACATGAAGGGGAAAGAGCTCAGGTGAAGAAAAGAAGAAAGAGAAAAGAAGCAAGAAGGAAATAAGAAAAGAGAAGAAAATAAGAAGTGGAGAAGAAAAGAATAGAAGAGGAAACAATAGTAATAGGGTCTAAAGAATTTTGTGTGGAAACCGTACTACCTATTAAAGGGGAAAAGGGGAAAGCAGGGAAAATAGATAGATAAGATTAGGAAAAATAGAAAGATAAGAAGAGAATAGTAGATAGCCAAAGGAAAATAGAATAGAATAGGAATAAGATAGATGTAGTGTTAAGATTAAGAAAGTAGGATAGAGAAAGATTAAGATTGAAGGTGAATAAGGCAAGATAGAAATAGATAGGATAGATAAGATAGAATAGGTAAAATAGGACATCTAAAAGATAGTAGTAACTATATAGTATAAGCCCTGGTTAAAAATAACCATCTGTATAAGAATTAAACCAAAATGGATAAGGATAAAGATAAATCAGCCAACCTTAGGCGCCCCTTTCTCATCAGTACCAAGTATACCACCAATATCGATGAAATATTTACAAAATTATATCCAAACGATTTAGCAACTCAGTTGACAACACAAACAGAGGAAATAAGGAGGCAAATTGCTGACAACAAACAAAGTATAACCTCGGCGGTAGCACTGACTAGTAAAATGGAATCAGAGATGCAGGCAGTGGATACCCAAGTACAAAATTTAAAGGAAAAGCATGAAATTTTGGAAGAATCTCTGATAAGATTAGAACTAGACAGAGTGGCCTATATACTTAGGTTTCAAAATATTCCAGAAAAGAAGGAGGAAGATATAAAAGATGAACTTAAACAGGTGTTAGCACAATTTATGGAAATGGCAGACCCTGAAGAATTAAATAAAGAAATAGATACGGTATATAGAGTAAATTCAGCTTATGCTAAACGCCATAAGCTACCAAGGGAAGTACATGTTAAGTTCTGCCGTAGAGAAATAAAAGACAAAATACTTAGAAAAACCAAAAAAAGTACTCTCACTATTAATAATGCAGATGTAAGAAATACCATGGAAAGTCAGGGAAAAGAAGCAAGAATACATAATTTTGGCTAATCTACTGAAAGATAATGGGATTCAATATCACTGGTTAATGCCAGAAGGGTTATTCTTTGTGTACAGGGGGAAAAGAAATAAAATTAGCTCTATTTTTAAGCTTCAAGACTTTTTAGAATGGAATGGAGAAGATTTAAGATGGAAAGGTAATGAAACTAGTGAATCTGAAACCCAACAAGAGGATGCCAGCGAACATGAGAAAATACATACAAAAAAAGAGGAACAGACAGAAGAAAGAGTTTGGTACCTTTAAGATGACAACGTGGCAGAAAGATAAAAAAGGTAAGACATCAACAGAAGAAGGGAAAGATGGATAGGCAGAAAATAAAAATAGTATTGATTAATGTAAATGGATTAAACGCACCCAAAAAAAGGAATTGTATTTTCCACCAGATACAAAAACTTAAAGCAGATGTGATATGCCTACAAGAAACACATATTAAAAAAGAAGACCAAAAATATCTAATAAGAAACAAGTTAGGGAAATCTTTTGTTGCAGCCGATGGAAGACAAAAGAAGAGAGGTGTGGCTACTTATGCTAAAGAATATTTAAACCCAGAGATGCTATATAAGTCAGAAGACGGCCGAATTTTGATAATTAAAATAAACAGGAAAGCTAAGGCGTGCTTGATTAGAAACATCTACGCTCCTAATCAAAATCAAGATAAGTTTTATGAAACAGTGAGGAATGTAATTGCTGACCAAACGTTTGATGAGATCTGTGTGATTGGCGATTTTAATGCTGTATATGAAGACTCTATGGACATTTGCGATTTATATACCGCCCTATCCATGAGGCTCAGAGCGGTTTACACACACACACACACACAATTTATCTAAGCTAGGGGTACAATGGTGAGGGGAGGGTATTTTCCTAACTAGGCGCTTAACAACAGGATCTTTTTCTTTGGCTTCGACGGTGGACTCGATGGTGATTTCTCTGTAGTAGCGGCTTCTTTCCAGCAGTTGGCCCCCACAGAACACGAACGAGGCAGCTCGACTCTTTGTCCAATCGGCTCCAGTCTTCGTTGCAATGTCATGCTCTTCCAGGCACCAGTCTCCATCGCTCGCCGCTGCTTTTAAAGAAAAACAGAAGTTAAAAAGATGAAGCAGGGAAATATCCTCCCAAAATCCTTTTTTAGATTAGTAGATGAACTGTCTTTGGTTGATTCCTGGAGGACTAAAAATATAAAAAAGAAAGATTTCACATTTTACTCAGCCAGACATAGATCCTGGTCGAGGTTAGATATGGCCTGGACTTCGATAGAGATGATGAATGATATTTGGGAAGCAGAAATATTGCCCATTTCCTTCGCAGACCAAAATCCAATTTTACTGACTCTCACAGATACACCAAAACGAGGCAGGTGGACTATGAACATGTATAATTTTAGAGATGAGGTTTTTTAAAGCAAACTCTAGAATAGAATATCAAGCATTCTTCAAAGACAATTGGAAACAGGAAGTACCCATAGATGTTATTTGGGATACTTTTAAAGCATATGCAAGAGGTTGGACAATAAGACAGAACACATGGGAAAAGAGACAAAACGAAGCTGTCTACAAACTAGTTTGCAAACAAATAAAGGAAGAAGAAAGTAACATGAAGAAAATGGATATAAAAGATATTAATGTCCAGCTTATTAGGAAGAAAATACATAAACTACAACATAAATACATATACTCTTGATGGAGGAAATTGCAAAAAAAGTACAGTATACTAGACAATACTTTTTTCAAAATGCAAACAAACCTACAAGGTGGCTGGCATACAAATTAAGGAAGGAAAGGGGAAAAAAATACATTAAAAGCCTGAAGGATGAAGATGGAGAAGAGAAATTTATCCTGAAAGAACTGAAGAAGATTGCTGAAAATTATTATGGAAAACTATATCAGCGGGATGATTATGATCAAGAAGAAACCTGGCAATTTTTATTAGAGCATACAGATAAGAAATTTTCTGAAAGCCAAAAAAAGATTTTAAATGATCCTATAACTATATGTGAATTGGTAGAAACAATAAGAAGCCAGAAAAATAAT